TCTTGTTTAGGAAATCGAAATGGGAATGAATCCGCCTGCTTTCGCGGGAAGATGCATTCCCATCTCTCTCTCTCTCTCTCTCTCTCTCTCTCTCTCTCTCTCTCTCTCTCTCTCTCTCTCTCCTCGTGTCTTTTTGTTTTTGAGCGTTTTTTAATTTTTTTTGCTTTCGTTCGTTTTTTTAATTTTTTGCTAGCGCTCGTTTTGCTTCTTTTCCTGTGTGTGTCATTCCTGGAAGCACCGAGCCCGGCCATTCAGCAACGACCGGGCCTTCCCTTGGCCGACCCCCCTAAGGCTGCGGCGCGTATACGGGAAGGACAGCTGCCTATAGCTGGGCCAGGTACTCGGTGAGGGGCCCACCTTCTATATCTGGGAAAGACCTCTTTGCCATTGAGAACATGGCCCCCAAAGGACAGAAAGAGAGAAGAAAGAGGAACCAACGGGTCTATCTCAGTTGGTACACCAAGGCCAACGAGCGGTTGAAATGCAGATCAAAGTTCGAATCCAGATACTATCAGGTGATCAGAATAAAAACATATTGAATTACCAGGAAGAAGAAAAGTGGCTGATGTTTTCTCATTGCCTATAGAGTTAGCAGGATCATTGTCGAAATCGCCGAAACGTAAAACGTTTGAAGAGAGTGGAGGTGGAAACCGTGGGAGAGGGGGAGGGGGAGAGGTAGAGGGAGGTAGAGGTGGAGGTGGAGGTGCAAGCGTCTGTTCGACGCGGGATATTATTAGCAACCGCGTGAACGCGGGCGACGGTCGACGGTCGACGTTGTTAACCTCCCGTACAGATATACACATATATAGATAGCACGAACGACTTGTGTTGCGCACGGTTCCCTTCCGCTTGCTTAGAAAGGAGTGAAGGAGGTGATAGGTAGGAGCTACTCTTGGACGCGGGACGGGACGGGACGGGACGGGACGGGACGGTGGGTTGGGTTGGGTTGGGTTGGGGTGTGTGGTAGCTTACCGTCGTCTTCTTTGTTGGGAAGTGCCGTAGAGGTCAAAGATGGCGGAAGCGACGGATCACGGTGCAGTTATCGAGTTAATTTCAAAGGAGGATTTCGACAAGGTTCTCGAAAGATCCAACATCGAGGGCAAAGCGGTACCTGCCTCTCTGCTTTCCATGTTTTACTGATGTCTTGTCTTCCTGTTGCCCGTTTTTGTTCGGTACTGTGTGTTTGTCCTGTCATGCATGCGTGCGTCTGTGCGTGCATGCGCGCGTATGAATTTGTGTGTATGCGTATGAACTTGAATGTGTTTGTGTCTATGTGTGGGTGGTGTTGTGTTGTGTTTGTGTGTGTCTGTGCGCGCGCGCGTGTGTGTGTGTGTATGCTTGTGTGTGGTGTGTGTGTTTGTGTGTACTTCTGCGATTCTGTGTGCATGCGTATTTTGTTGGTGTGTGTGTGTGTGTGTGTGTGTGTGGGGGTGTGTGTGTGTGTGTGTGTGTGTGTGTGTGTGTGTGTGTGTGAGTGTGTGTGTGTGTGTGAGAGAGAGAGAGAGGAGTTGAAAACACCGTGGTCCGGCGTGTGTGTGGTTCGCTTTGCATGTGTCCGCGCGCGCGTGTGTATTTCTACGTGTATTGTGTTTTTGAATTCGCGCTCCTTTTTCGTTCTGGTCATCCGATACGCAATTGGTCTTGAGCGATGACAGGCAGGCTGATGGCCACTGCTTTGTTTTCTGTTTTTTTTGGTCAAATTTGGTCAGAACACGTGTATGCAGTATTGAAATTTGACATTGAAGAGTCGTGGTTCATAACGCAATTAGTCCTCTTCGCCTATTATAATTCTCTGATGCCCACGTCGAAACTGAATTGCCGGTGGACCAATCAATAATTCCTTCAGAAGTTCAGAATGCCCCTTCCACCACACAGCTCTCCATGTTCTACC